CCTTTAACTTTTGCCACTAATTATACTTTAAAATTTGCAAGCAATGTCATTTTGGTCTTTGATCTTTCAAGAGAAATTGTGGTTATTATTAGCATCTCTCTATGGATACAACTCTCTACCGCAAACTGTTGCTAGGATATTTTATTTTACTTATATTTTATAGACATTGTGAATGATCGTAGACTATTAAGTATAAAGTATAATACAACCACTAATTTAGAAATTCTGAATGAAGCTTTGCTTATAAAATAATGATCACATTATGTATCTCGATTTGAAATTTTTTAATTGCATTTATGTGATAATAGATTACTACGCTTGCTGAAAGTGGCTCTAACATTAATTTCATTTTTATTTCTCACTGATAAACACAAATCAGCTCTCAATATTTTAAAACCTAAAAACGATCAGTCTGTCGCAAAGTTTACAATACTTTATTGAAAGTTCCTGTTGGTTGCATTTGAAGTTTGGAACTAATTTAACCTCGACAGTAAACTGAAGCTTATTTATATTTAGAAGATGCAAAATGCCGCACTGGAAACCTTCGAGTGATTCAGTCTCTCAGGTTTAATACTCTCGAGAACGTGTCGTTGCTTGGCGATAGTAAAATTATATTCCCTATAGCTTGATTGTCAGACCAAAGGCTATTAAAACAAGGCTCTAGTGTTTGTTTAAAATGTCCTGTTGGAGTTTATTAAACCATAGGTGAGGTTAAGTTCAGTGTATTGTCTGTTCGATATTAACACATGTAACTATTAAGCAGACAATAATTAAAATGTTATTATTAATAAATGTATTCTTATAACTTTATGAGATGCATCGCTTCTGTATCACCAAGACTCTCAAAATGTCAGTTGAATTTACAACAACAAAAACATTTTCTTAAGTATCCTACTATATATAAAATGAAGCTAAATAATCTAATCCAAGTGATATACAATTTTTAAATTTAATTAATAATAACGGAACAATATTGATATAAATGAAGATAAGATTATTTGCTCGTCGTATACAATGTTGCCGGCGTTAACCGCAGGCTAAATTGCACGATACAGTTCTAATTGCATTGAAACACTGTACGATGGTCTCGGAGTAACCAGAGATAAGATCCCCTATAACAGGATTATTAGGTTAAATAACACGGTTGCCGCTAAAAGCGTGTCCTGATTAATTTGGGTGACATACGACCACCTTCATATTACACGGTCGCCAATGTTATACGATATTAGGGAGCTTCAAGGAAATTTGTTAATGGGGACAATGCAGATAATAATAAAAGGGGGATAATGAACATCTTCGATGACGTATCACAGTAATTACGAGGAAAAAGGGGGAACATAAGTTAGAAACATTAATTATAATAGAAAGACTAGAGAATTCTAAAATAAAATAATTCAGCAAAAAATGGTCTTAATGTAAAAAAAAAACAGGAAAAAGTATATTGGTATAGAGATAAACTGTGCCTAATTAACTTATTTTAGTAGTTCAATGTCCATGGAATACCCTGTAACTAATTATTTGAATTTATGTATAAACTTTATTGTTGAGTTATAAAAAGTGTTAATTTCAACCAAAGACATCTAAATGGGTAGACAGAACACTCCATTCATAAAACTCAATTTTTTAGAATCATACATGGTTTAGCACTTTTATATGAGTGTAAAAAGAGATGGGTACATAAATATGACAACACGGTTGAGTTTCGTCTATGTTTCTGTTATTTGGCTCTATCAGTGGCGTGACGGTGGCGAGATGTTTTTTTTATCACAAATTGATGAATTTTATCAAAAATTTATTGGGATTGCCTCAGACCAATTTTACAATATAACTAGTTGTGCCTGAGGTCTAACTGAGGGTAACTCTAATTTCACAATCAAAAGCGCCAACAAATCAGAAAACATACGTATTTTTGTAATAATCTACTTATAACTAAAAGTATCTAAATCCGCTAGTGTAAGCATGGCTAAAGGCAAAACTAAACGTAATGACATTTACCGTTGAAATACAAATTCCGGGTTAAAATAGTCCACCTTTTTACAAACTATGCACTGGCGAACCATCGTAGATAGTTAAAAACTACTTTAGTTTTCTTTGCAATAAACACTAATAATTATTAGAAAGTTGTTCAAAAGCTACAAAAATTTTCAACTACCGCAGAAAATTCACAACCGCGCGCTGTGAAATATAAGTTGAATGAAAGCAAATGAAAACGTCAAATGTCAGCGTAATTCCTACAGATTTCGACAATTTCGTAGTAAAGATGAATCCACAGCGATGCTGCTAGTTGCCATTGTAATTTCCCTAATATAATTTAATTAGAAAACACTAAAAATAATTTCAAAGGTATAATCCTGGTACAATCTATGTATATTAATTAAAGTTATATACCTATACAAATATTTAGTTTAACGTTTCTATAGATACCCAAAAAACATTAATAACAATAATAACATTTGGAACTCGAACCGTATTCTATCACATACCGCGTAAATCTGTCATCATGGATTTTTTGCGGTTCGTGATCGCGATAAAATGTAAATTGTTTTGTCTCCCTTTATTTAGATGTCTTTGGTTTCAACCCTCCAAGAATCAGATAAATAAAAATGTCTCATATCTACTTGTTTAGACACACAGTGCAGGTGATTTTAATAATTTTATATTAATTTGTTATGATACATTTTAAAGTCTACTTGTATAATATTAATGAACTCAAAAATACAGATCAGAATTAATAACTTGTTAATCACATCCTAATAAATTGTGAATTGTGGTATTTATTACACGAACATTTGTTGATATCCTAGATATCTATTTTATATCACAGTAATAATACAGAAAAGTGGACATAACTCAGAAGTATTAATTATATTAGAAAGATACTTCGCCAAGTTCATTGACAAAGTAATTATGTCTTCAAGTAATTTTTACTTTCCTCTGTATATTAATAAAAATATTTTTAAATTGTACACTACCACTGCGCAGATTTGTTATAAAAATATTAATATCTACTATATATACACTTGTTTTTGAATTATTGTTTTTGTATAACGACTAAAATATACAGTATGTTCTCATCTTCATATTTTTCGATTTTTTCCAAATAATTTATGAAGTAACATCAATATTTGGATGAAAATTGGTATCTGGGAGTTTTTTACATCAGAAATTTTATTTTGAGCATGACTCCTGCTTGGGCGCCACCTACATATTTTTAACTGATTTGAAAGGTAATAACTTTTCGTCCGTATCTGTATAAAACAACCGAACAAAAAATACAGATTTGCGATGTGTTTTACGTAAAAAGGGTCTCTTGTTAAAAATTGCTACGAGTAATGGTTCTCGAGATATTTGGAATCAAAATTATCAATACATCACTGACAAATGAAATATGTTGACTAAATAGTTTTTAGACCGAAATCATAAATTTGAAATGTTTTTGTGCCAAAAGTTCAAGAATTGTTTGAAGAAACTGTTTTATCATGATTTTTTTGCAGAAAAATTTATAATTAATTTAAAAAAAATCCCAAATTTATTATTTCAGTCAAATAACTCTCTACTCAACGTGTTTATTTTTTTATCAATAATGACATGTATTGACTATTTCCATTCTAAATATTATGAAAACGGTAGCTCGTAACGATTTTTACCAAGAGACATTTTTTACGTAAAAATCACGGAATTGTATAATTTTTCACTCAGTAGATTTATACAGGTACGGACGAAAAGTTACTACTCTTCAAAACAGTTAGAACGCATGTAGGTGGCGCCCTCTATAAATAGGAGCCTTATTGATATCAAAATCAAATTTCTCATGCCAAAAAACTCGCAAACACTAATTTTTATCCAAATATTGACGTTACTACAGAAATTATTTGTAAAAAATCGAAATAAAAATGCAACTTCTACACCCTGTATCTCCGAAACTAAGCATTTTAGAACATACATTTAGAGGAACTTTTCTACTTATTTTATCTGCAGAATATGCTGCCGAAGTTTCCGGAATACAGTTCGGACCACCCTGTATATAAATAAATTATGGAATTTTACGCAGAATCTAAAAATAAAGTAAAAATTGTTAATATATGTTATATCCGCCACACTTTTTTGAAGCAGCCTGTATACTCTATAATAATTTTAAAATATGTATCTTAACCTTCCCTATAACTTTTATATTTAACACACATTTTTTTTGTATATCTCGAAATAAATGAGATAAGATAATGTACTTTAGTTTATTATTGACTAACACTGTATATTTTAGTCGTTATTATACAAAAATATATAAGAAAAAAACTCAAAATTTAAGTGAGGATGCAGTCAATAATCACCATATATGCAAATAAAACTACCTTTTCAAATTGTCTAGCAGTTATTGTCCAGCTTTCGAGAATTTTATTCCCATCGTCAGGATACCGTGACTCTTCACTGTTCAGGCATTGTTTGATCGAGCTCGAAATAACAATGTAGAAATTAGTTTAGTAAATTTAAAAAAAACTTTTTTGTTTTGTGTTTAAAAGAAAAGTAATGTCGTCTGATATGTATTTTAATATTTTATAAAGGAAATGTCCTTGTAGTCCAATGTCATACGATGCTAGTTTTGAAGGCCTTTTTGTGCAGAGGATGTTTTTTTGCTAATTGACTCAGTCAAACTGTCCTGATGATGGGAATAAAATTCTCGAAAGCTTGACAAATTTGAAAAAGTAGTTTTATTAGCCTATGTGGTGATTATTGACTGCATCCTCACTTAAATTTTGAGTTTTTTTCTTAACTTAGTCAGTCATGACTAACCTGCTGTTTTTCAAAAAAATATATATAGTAGATATTAATATAAGGTTTATAAAAACATTACTAATAGTAAAACTCTTCGAAAACTTTTTACCTCAACTCTGTCTGAAATAATCAACTTATCTTACTTGACCCCCTTCACACGTCCGTTCTTTTTTCACTTGCAAATAAAAAACAAATAGAAAACTAACAGAATCGAAAGCATCCAATCTTACCTTTAACGGCGTTCAGTTTGTTCCCCACCATTTGCTTCGCCACGAACGCCGCCATCGTCTACGGATGTGTTTGCGCGCGTGTGTTCTGTTCTGTCGTGTTATGTGGTGTGTGCCTGAAAACAAAATTAATGTCGTGAGCGGCTGGTGGGGCGGCTGGTGATGCTGAGAGCGATCGAGGGGGGAAATAGAGCATAAAAAAGGGAAAGGGGAGGGAAGAGAGTGGTGGAGAGATAAACAATGTACGTTGGAGCGGAAATAAACGGATGCGACGCGGTTAAATAGGCCGACTGGAGGAGAAAAATGAATGTAAAGTCGTAATGGGGATTGGGGTATTTTTTTTATGAATATCGTGATGAGTGATGTTTAAAATATATAGTTCAGATAAAATAAGAATATATTCTGTCAAGTTTTTATTTTCTGATTAGTACAAATATGATGTTTCGTATAGTTATATTTGTTAGTCAATAGAACTAAATATAGTTTTTTCCATAGCAACTGTTAAAATTGCCTTATATCTATCAAAAACAGTAGATAAAATAGTACTTTAACCGCAAGGGTAGATTAAATGATACTTTAACAGCGAGTATAGGTTAAAAGCTTTTTTTCTTCTCGCGCGTTTTTTAATTGCTTCCATTTTTGAAAATTTTTGTATTCCTTTTCATAAGTTATTTGGGATTTAAAAAGTTTGGATATGGCGTTTGTCGCCTCAGCCTGAATATCTGTTGGTAATTTACTTATTCTTTTTGAGCCATTTCTGGCTCCAATTCAATCAGCAATCGACACGAAAGAGAATTAAAAAATATTGACTCAAAATTGACAACTAAAGAGACAGCTTTATTTATTTGTCAATTTACATAGAAACCAATGCCAACCTAGCACAATATTTTTTCAACTCGTAATAAATTCCTTGAAATAATTTCTGATTTCTGAATATTTTTTAAAACGTAACTCGCTATGGAAAAAAATATTGGTTTATACACGACGATAAATTTGCATTATCACTCGCGATTTCATCGCTCGTGAATTAATGTTTTATACAAGAAGACACAATAAAATGGTATTTTATCGTCTTGTATAAAAAATAACTATTTACTTTTAACCGCTAACGTGCGGTAGTGGATAATATCCGCTAACGTGCGGTCTGGCAAATATTTTTTAAGTATAAGTATAAACAAAAACAACTCCTTTTAACAGGGCAATTTATTCATAAATTATTTAAAAGATTTTAAAGAATTTAAACCTATAATAAGTAGCAAATAGGCATATTTGCTTCGCAACAATGCAGATTTTTTCACACATCTGTTCAGAGAACACACATATGTAATGAGTGTCTCTTCATAACTTAGTTGGGTATTTAAACCAGGGGCGCTATTCTGTACAATCGTCGGAATCGGTGAGTTACCGATAGCTATCGGTATGTATTTGCATATAGTAAATATGTGTTAATTGTTGTTGTCATAGTTACCGATCGGCCCTATGACAGATATCGCAAATTTGTACCGACGACTCTCGGTATCTCTACCGTGAGGTTGACAAGGGCACGGTAGAGATACCGATTTTCGTCGGTACAAATTTGCGATACCTGCCATAGGACCGATCGGTAACTATGACAACAACAATTAACACATTTTTACTTTATACAAATACGTATCGAGAGCTGTCGTAACTTACCGATACCGAGGATTTTACAGAATAGCGCCCCAGGTTGATCGTATTTTTACATTATTTTCTATCGCCCGGTGTATCATACTCATTAACACTACATATTTTTTTCACAATTGTTATATGCAACTGCAGTGAGCTTCAGATTCGTTTATCGATCTTCGTTTGGAAATGAAGTTCGATAAACAATTTTTGAAAAAATTAGCCTGAATCAGAATATTTTTATCCATTTCTTCAACTTTAAGTATATCTTCTAATATCTTAATCGTTTTGATCTTCAACGCTTTAGGCCCATTTTTCAAGTCTTGGGTCATTATAGATGATACGATTTGAAAGCTGCTCATAATAAGTACCAATTTGAAAAAAGCATTGAAAATAATATGTTTATTTCCGATACATAATCGCTAGCGTGAGGTCTCGGAAATCTCGACGACTTATTTTTGCTATACTACCGCATTGCACTAGGCAAGATGTTGTCAACTATCTAAGAAACTTTGTCGTTACATCTCCGTGAGGTAAATAGCTTCCCAATATGCATTTGTTTTACATTGTTATGTTGTAAGATATAATATATTAATTTACCGGGGTCCTATAGACCGCATGCTAGCAGTGAAATGATAAGCTACACAATTTAAACATGAGTAGTAGTTTATTTAAGAATGAAATAAAAATATAAATATTATTGTCAAAGATCGTTTGTGACACTGACAAAACATTCTACAACTTCGCCAATTAGATTATTATCGTCTACCTAGTCAGTAATATTATAATACTTGTTTTTTCTATAAAACTATGTGAGGTGGCTTTTTTTGCAAAAGACAAAAAATGTAGTAAATACTAGGACCTATTTACGAAAAAGAAAATCAGTCGTCGTTGATGGTGCAATATATCTCTACTTACTAGAATTTATGTACGGAGGGAGTAGAGTTTTTCTACCTTCTCTTAACTTATCATTTTGTAACTTAGATATTAACGCTACTAGCAAAACACAGGTACCCCAAATCTCATTCAAATCGGAATATCATGTCAGTGCATAAAATATGTTTTATTTTTTTTAATTTGCCCTTTTACAAAAAACTCACATTTGTATAGACATTAATTGCGTCGAACTTATTTTCGTTCGTAAAATACGTAGTTGTTCTATGTCCACGGAATATTGGGGCACCCTGTATTATTATTCATTTGAATCTATGTATTATTTTCTACAAACGTCAGTAAAAATGTAATTTTTAGTGCATGCTGTCAGTGCCTAAAATGTGACATTATGTCACTGATGGTAAAAAAATTTACTTTTAGCACTAAAAGCCATTTACTTTTATTTCTGCTAAAAGTAAGTCACGTGATTTACTTTTAACACTGAAGCAGTAATATTACCATAGCAACCATAAACTTCATAATTAATTTAATTTCGAATGACATATTATGAATTATTCATTAACGCAAAAAGTAATAATACCTTGATATATACGAGCATAAACTTGTTTGTAGAAAAAATAGGGTATATGTGTGCTAAAAGTGATTTTATTTTGTTCGAAGGGATGGATTCCCTTCTCACAAAATAAAATACCACTTTTAGCACTTATATCATAAATAACTATTTACCTACTATAATTATCTGATGAGTTATAAAAAGTGTTATTTTCAACCCTAGAATCAAATTAATCAAAATGTCTCAAATTTTCATGTATAGACACATAGTTCAGGTAAATTTTATAAATTTCACATTATATATGGTACATTTGAATTTCTGCTTGTAAATTATTATGAACCCCAAAATACAGATTCCAATTTATAACTTGTTAATCATAATCTCACACATTATGAATTATGGTATTTCCTACACCAGAATTTGTTACAATTCTGGATACCGACAAGGACTCCACCGTTAGTTTCCTATATAAAAGTTTTCGATAGCGTTAGTACAATATGATCGAAATAAAACGTCGTCAGTGATAGTTATGAGATGAGGATAGCTGTCATTTTATATGTAAAATTATATAGGGAATGTCATCGATGGTCATTTCTAAGCTAACTCGACGCCATTATTCAATCATACGGTATTTCAATGGGTATTTTCAATACTTGGTTAGCCAATATCAATTATCATTATTGTTTTAATTAAAAATACGTCTTTATATTTTCTTTTTCTTTAATGCCGTTCTATGTGGACATTTCTAGCCTCCGACCAGTAAATATATTATATTGATTTGACGAAACATGGCCTACGATATTTTGGAGTTAATGAATATCGTGATGAGTGATTATAAAAATACAGTTCAGTAAATACAGTTTGAAATAAAAATGTTAAGTCTACTTTCCATTGTGAGACAAAGTGTTTGTCGAGTTAAGGAAAAACGCCTTAACCACGATTGAGATTCAAGTATGTAATTAAATAGATATAGGCATTTTCCAACTAAATGAAAAGCAAAGCCATCTCTTCTTGCTTTATTTTCGGAATAATAATTAAATATATATTATATATAATTAAATATAGTAAAGTATAAACCTGATGGCTATAATATGTAGAAGTCTTCCATTTTCAAATATTAACAACCAAGAACTTAACTTGTTCAACGCGTCAGATAAGAGGTTTTCCGTTAAGTTTTTGATACTAATATTAAGTAGATACTAAAACTAAATACACTACACTGTACTACACAATATAAAGATGAGTTGTATTACGTTGGTACTTTAAGCTTGCTTTGCTGAAAATATAATCATTGACTTAAATAAAAATAGCTATCTCTAACCTCTGACCACCTAATGCTGTGTTGATTTCGCGAAATATGGTGTAGGATGTCCAATTTTAAGGCCTCTCCTTTTATTGTGTAAGCAATAAAAAAAATTACTGTCTACCATTTTCTCAGTTTCATACTATACACACTGAAATCGACAAGAAATTCATATTATATGAATATCTATTTACATTATTAAAATCCTTCCATAAGGAAATCCAGTCATTCTTGCAAACCGAATAGTATTCTAAAATTTATTCCAAAAATTCTAAAAGATATACCGCGGTTTCTAAGCGCGCAGTAAAATATGCAACAGTATCATTTTCAAGTTATATCTACAATAGAAGTGAAATATGCTTTCATATCGTCGTAATATATCATTCCAAACCAGAAAAGATGTTAATAATATTTAAATTTAAGTCTAGATATAAAATGAAATGCATTTTATTTAAGTAAGAATTTTAGATATAATAGTTTAATATTTAATGAAATATATTATATTTTTATAGTTATTCTAGGAGTAAAGCTTGATTTTCAAGTGTCCGTTACCCGTTGATACGATAGTCCGAAGGCGCGGCACTCTGATTGGTCATACCGTCTTCCCGCTACTTTTCATTCGTATTTTTTTTTCTCTGATTCCTTCTACGGTGTCAGGTCGTACTATAACGAACGTTTTGACACTTTGTTTTATAAAAGCTAGCAATGTCGGAAAACAA